TTCGTCCAGAAGACTTACATTGAAATTTTCTAGTACTTTATTTGTTAGAAAACTTTTCAATAACTCATCCAAACCCTATAATCAAATAACTGAATAAATCTCAACAAAAACGCTTCATTAAACCTAAAATCAACTTATAAAGTTTTTAATATAGACAAAATTAAACTCATATATGCCAAATTTAAATATTTTAAAAACCTATTAAGATACCAAATTCTAAAAAATAATTCATTTTGTTGAAAACAATTCAATTTTCTTAAATCTAAATTTATATCACTTACAAATATCTATAATTAGATATTATGGTTGTTCCCTATCAAAATTTTTTTATGAAAATTTTAAGTTTTTTAAGAACTAATACGCTAGAAGAATTTTCTTGGAAGACTTAGTATTAGGCGGGAAATCTAAATTATTTTAAAATTGTAAGCGGAAAACCGTTGTTAAGTCATCCAGTAAGTCTTCTAGTGCATTATATCTTCGAAAATTTAAGTCTCCCAAAACCACAATATCAAATATATAACTAAATCACATACAAAAACTTTATTAAACTTAAAATAAACTTATAAAGTGTTTAATAAACACAAAACAAAACACATATATGTCAAATTTAATTTTCTTTTTTAAAAAATTAAGATTCCACAGTGTAACCCTAAAATCGCATACAATACTATAACATAGTTACCAAATCCTAAACAAACAAAAAAATATCTTGACTAAACTTACATTCACTCATCTATGTTAAAAACAATTTAATTTTATTAAATCTAAATTTATACCACTTACAAATGTCTATAGTTAGATGATGATGATTTTTCTCCAATCAATATTTTTTTATGAAATTTATAAATTATTTTAAGAACTAATACAATAGAAGACTTTCCAAAGAATACTCATGGAAGACTTAATATTAGGCAGGAAACCTAAATTATTCTAAAATTTTAAGGGAAAATAGTAGTTAAGTCTTCCAGTACCAATAAGTCGTCTAGTATATTATATCTTCGAAAATTTAAGTCTTCTAAAACCCCCCAAAATCAAATATATAAGTAAATCACATACAAAAACTTTACTAAACCTAAAATAAACTTATAAAGTGTTTAATATACACAAAACCAAGCACATATATGTCAAGTTTAGTTTTTTTTTCTTTAGTTAAGATTCCATAATTTAATGCTAAAAATACATACAATATTATAATATAGTTACCAAACCCTAAACCAAAGAATACATACTAACTTACATTCACTCATATATATTGAATACTGTTCAATTTTAGTAAATTTAAATTTACATCATTTATAAATGTCTATAATAACATAAAATATTTTTTTCCCAATTCACTCGCATGGTTATAATGGTAAATTACAATACTGTTTTTATATTTAGTTATGAGAGGATGTTTATAATTTCACTAACCTTTTTGAGTTACTTTTGCATTTGATTTGATTTGGGATACACTTTTGCATTTAAAATAAAGTTTTGAGTCATATTTGGCAAATCCTCAAATATAAATCATATAATAAAACAAAAACAACCGTGATGATTAGTATCTTAAGCAATGCTTTGTTTGAGTTAGTCATCCGTGAATGATAAACCTCTCTATCAAGGTAGTTATTTCTTTTTATTGAGTTTGTTTGTAAACATCTATTTTATTAAAACTGTAGTACCTTTTAGGTTTGTTTGGAAACTTAAATAGTAGTAATAAATAGTTTAATGTTGTTTGGCTATAAGTTTAATAGAGTTGAGTTTTTTAACATTGTTATAATAGAATTTTTGGCTTTTGTTTAATTTATTTTATGATATGATTGACTTTAATCATTTAGCCCATTGTAGTAATTTGTGTTTTTAGTTTATATTTTATATAAAGACCATATTCATTTTATTTGTTGTTGACTAAATTAAAAATAACATCAGTTTTTAAGATAATAAAAGTTTACATTTCAAATAATTTAATACTCAAATATTTTTTATCTAAAGTATTTTACATTATTCAAATTATCATAAAAAACATAAAATACTTGAATAGTTTTAACTAAAATATTAAAATTTTGTTTTCGTAACTGGATATTTATCCAAAACACATCCCCTCCACGAAAATCAGTTTTACCCCGATTAATCTAAAATTAACCCTAGAAATTGTAACCAAACCGTTATCATATTGGAACCAAAAATTAATCTGATATTAGTCGGTTATTATAATTGTTACCAAACCCTGTTCAAACCAAAAGAATCAAACCGGACGCAAATCAATTTATATAGATAACTGAACAGATCTTATATTGGCAGAACTAAAAAAACTACAAACATAAAGAATTCAACAAAAGTTAAACCCAAAATCAAACCCCAGTCCTATTACATTCAATACAATCACAGTTTCTAAAATACGGCAATAACCGATCACTTATGAGTATATTATGCTTTCCCAAATTAATTTAAACCCGCGCCGGTGTGCTGGTCACGATCTAGTATTACCCTTGACATTTAACCAGATAATAAAAAAAAAAACAACTGTAAACACAATTCTGAATGATAAGTATCTTATATTTTAGACCCAAAAAGTATCTTGTATATGCGACTACAGTATAACCTCTATAAACTGATAATGTTGGAAATTTGATTTTTTTATTAGTTATATAGATATTAGTTTACAAAAATTTCTTATTTAGATTTTTTATTTAAATATATATTTATTTTAAGATAAAAAATTTAGTGTATAGACATTAATTATTATTTGCTCAGATCTAACATTTATATTAATTTTATTATATTATTTAGTGTGTATAATATAGAAAGCAGAGAATTAAAATTTGGTTTTGGATATCATATTACTAAATCTCTTCAAAAATATATTAAGAGTTAAGAAAATATAAAGATAATTACATTGTGAATATAAAACAAACATTGTAATGATAGGTTTTCTCTTTTATAAAAGAGTTATTTAGCCCAATATACTGAAACATAGTAGAAAATAGGGATATGCTAAAAGGTATGAATAATGGGCCCGATACTTATCCAGAAGGGTGTACAATTACGGAATACCCCTCTCCAAGATTGATGTAATCTTACGTGATAAGTCAGGGTGATTTGCGTAGATTTTATTTAGATTTAAAAAAAAACAAATAATGAAATACAAATAAAACTCACAATAATATTAAAATGAGAAATTTTTGGGTTCATCCTTTAGTATGAATCTCTAGGTTCACCAACCCTGAGTCCTAAACCCTAATTCCTAAATTCTAAACCCTAAATCCTAAATTCTAAACCTTAAATTCTAAATTCTAAACACTAAACCCTAAATTCTAAACCTTAAACACTTGGGTAAATCCTTACTTTTGGATTAATCTTAAACCTCAGGATTTACGATTAATCCAAAGGTTTAGAGTTTAACCAAAGATTTAGGGTTTAGGATTTTGCTGATAGTATTAAAAATATTTTTTAAAAATTCAAAAATTTATCCAAAAGTTTAGGGTTTATCCAAAAGTTTAGAGTTCCCAGTCCGAAACAAGAACTAAACCCCACAAACCAGCGGCAGAGATCACTAGATAGAATAATTGCGAAGAGGCCAGCCGAATCCATAACAAACTCGTGAAGATATCGTTTTACACTGTTGCGCAATAGAAGATCAACTTTTTGACAGAGATTGAAGAAAAAACAATATAGAGGAGAAGATAAGGAATGGACAGGAGAAAGCAAAAAAAAAAGGGAAATTTGCCAAAAAGGGACCGAAAAACACAACTATTGTCCCCTTAGAATAAAATCAAATTTTGGCACTTTTGGACCTTCACTACCCTTTTTGTATATAAAAATTCATAGTAAAAAATTTACAAGGTAAAAAATTGAGGAAAAATATACAATATGAAATAGAGTAGCATGTGAATATATGAAAAATATTTTTACATT